CATCGCGGGCGCAACATAAATTAATTAAACGTGCGCGATCGCCGGTGTGCCTTCTTGCATGTTGTTATTGAGTCGGAGGAGAGCTGCGGTTCTTGCTCTGTGGGTCGCTCCGGGACGCTTCGATATAAAAGATCCTGATGAAGTAATAAAGGTGATGTACGAGCGCGCCGGCGACGATAAATAATAATTAGGGTTCAAGTAGTCGGAGTGTAAATGTCAGATAAGTGTGTTCCGGGCGCGATCTCCACGTAACTCACCCGTGGTCACCAGATAATCGTAGACCCATGATCGGAAAAATGCAAATGCATACTGAAAATGTCCATAACATACGTTCGGCTGGCAGTATCTTGACTTCTTTACACTTATTGCATGTTACGAGGTATGTACAATGATGCGATGATATTAATTGACACAATGTAAGTTGTTCGCGACGGCGCGCGCACGACGCCGATAAGGATTATTCCAATCCGACGATTTCTCGTTATCGAGCGTTCAGTGCCGAAGCGCGACGGCTTTATGATTGCCATAAATATCTTGATAAACGATCTTTTAAATTATAACCGTGATAGATATTTGCCCACTCGCAACTCCCAGGGAGGAGTCGGCGGCGTAATTTATGGCGCCATTTATCAATGCTCCACACCCTCTGTTAACTGCGAGAGCCAATTTCGAGATGTGTGCCGCGATATAAAGAGAGGTGCCGCGTAGAAGAGATGTGTGTGCGCGGGCCCGAAACGGGCGAAACCGAAACGCTTGTTCAACATCGGGATGTTGTTTCAGCTTGACTTGACCCCATTTGTTACAGCGTAATGTCTTCTTTTAACTTTCGCCGGTCCGTACAGTCTGTAGGAGCGCTCGCGCGTGTGTAAAGATGTACGACCACGGCGCACATATGAGAGACGTATCTATAAGTCGGTACTTCTTCTTTGCCCTTGCGCTGCATCCGCAACATATACATTACACTGCTTCGTATGATTTATATGACATGCGATCATGCTTCGATCGCGATACACACGAGCTTGATTCGTCATAATATATGCAACAAGTCTCTGATCCAGATGCGCAGGAAATCTTTCTGTTTAAAAAAATCGATGTTTAAATATTTTACATTGCTGCGTATATTAATGTAAATTGTGTGGATTTGTAGACAGCGTAAATAGTTGCATTCGCCAAGGCATAATAATTGGCGGTGTCTTTCAGAACGCGCTCGCCAAGTCGTTATTCACAGTCACTCTTCGTTAACTCGCCTAACAATCTTGCCATCCACATGGCCACAGGTGAATTATTTTACTCTCAATTGATGTAGGTATTACGTTGCGCAAGCGAACAAAACTCAGCGTTTTGTTTTACAGTAACAAGACATCATCAAACGTGTAATCTTCTAATGCGCCAACAGAATCGTGACAGTGTCATTTCCGGTCGTAGAAAATTCTGTATAAATACCAACGGGTATTTTATGGCAAGTAAATTGTGCGTTTTATTGCATGAATTTCTTAAAATTTTGTTCTTCAATACCTGCAGTGCAAAAGCCCGAAAATAATGAGATTAATTTGAATAAGTTGTACTTTCCAGCGGTGTTGTTTCTAGTTTTATGACAGTCAATAGATTATTTTCATAACATCGTCTGTCGGTAATGGGATTAACGGTCAGTCCTCCTAGCGATTATTTACACCCCCCATTTACAACGAGTGCAGTTGTCCGATTTACAAGCCTAATCCAATTTTGGAACGTTTTCATTTCTGCATTTCTCTAACGCGATTAAGCTGCAGGCGTCAGCTCCAAATTTCCCTTTTTATGACACCGTCATGACAGGCAGAACACAACCCTAGTCGCATGTTATATACAGAAGTAGTGTGCGCACGTAACTCATTCGTGAAGCGAAGCAATTCTTCTTGGAACGGCCGGCGGCGATGGCAAGAACAACGAAACAATGTGATAAATTAATAAAACCTTAGAGATGGGCCGCCGATAAGCCGAGACCTATCGAGCTTTGCGCTGTAAGGGATCGTTAACCATTTCCGTTGCGGACAAGGGCCATGAATTACTCCAAAAATATTATACTGCTTGTTTTCGAAATTCATAAGCCGGGGTAAAACTTATGTAAATGTTGCAGGTGTTTGACATTTCAGACGGACGTGGGTTTGTTGAAAATCAGATCATTTTTATGTGAATTCCGCAGTGGTGTCGCTTAATTCAAAGTGTAGTCAGTTGAGTTATTTTTACGACCACGCAAATGACAAGTGCGCTCATGTAAGCTGTCCGTGTAGCGGCTACCAAGTGCAAACGTAACGAAGCGCACGTATTCCGATCAGTCACCGCCGTCGCGTTCGTGCACTCGAGAGCGAGAAGGACTAAAGGCCATCATTAACGATAACCATCGCGCCTGCCAGCGTCGCAGCCTAAGACAAATGAAGGTGCGAGCTGACAGCGAGTCCATTTAGTCGGGAAGTCGTAATTATAAGGCGTGGTGATGGTTTTGGTGGTGTGTGAGCTTGAAGCGCGCGAGCGGTATCTTCAGCGCGTTGGCACCGTTAGGCAAACAGTTCGGAACGACTATTAAATTACAGAGCGGGATTTGCCGCGTGTAATTAATTGGGATTCGATAATTAGTCGATGATTAGCAGCCATGCGTGTGCGACCGCATTGTCAACGGGCTGTCAATAACAGACGATGATGACAAATACAAGATGGCGCTGAAACAAATCCGTTTCTCAAAGATGTCTAGATCTATCTCGGGGTGCTGCACTGCGGAAGCCGTGGGTTCACAGTTCGGGCAACGAAAAGATTGATGATACCCTTGCGCCCCGAGCATAATAGAAAAGTGACGTCGCGCTTCCAACAATAAGCCATCGAATGCCTGGATATTAATGACGTCGTGGCGTCTAATTTCCATTTCGTCCTTCGACTCCGCGAACAAATATCCGACATTATTTTGTTTACGTCTGTCGCTTCAGACGCAGGCATATTGTTCCCGTTGCCGAGTTTCATTTATCATCTTGCCAGGCAAACATGGCGGTGGTAGGGGCGCTGCTGGTGGCGCGGCACGCGGAGATTTACGACGCCATTGTGCAGCTAGACAACCATGGAAAAGTCGAGTTTTACCTGGCTCACTGTCCCGCAAACAACCAGAAGACAGGGCCACAAAGACTCTTCATAATTACCCAAATGCAAGCCCATGCAAGCACGACAAACAGAGCGGCGTAAAATTTATACTTTTACTGCCTTTTATGATCTCCAAGCGCAAAGGCGAAAGGTGTGCGCGCCGCAATCGGAGTGGTCGTAAAACTTATTCAGCAAATTCAACAAATCTTTCGTAAATAAACTTGCGACCCTTAATCCAATTTGCGAAGAATTCTGTAATTTGTAAGACTTTATTGAATAAGTGGATTAGCACTTGGGGGTACATACATCAATCGACACAAAACACCAAGGGCGGCAGTTGGAGTAGTAAACGAGTTACGAATTGTCATCTGTTGTAAAATTATCGAATTTACGATGCAATTAAAGCCGCATTCGAAAGCGTCCGTGCCAGCTTTTCGACGCGTCTTTAAACTTTGTCTTGATATACTAGCGTTTGATTTCTCGCGCCTTGCCCAAGACGATAAGTTATGCTTAATGCGTAATTTAATTAGAGTGTGAAACATGCCTCTTCCAACACGCACACATCTAATATTAGACGACTATTTGTTAAGTACATTTTGTTTGCGCTCACGACAAAGTTAGTTGGACGGCATCCAGGCTTCGCGGGCCGAGAGTGGCGCCGGCCCGCTTAGTAATTGGTGTAATTCTTCACGACATTTCGAATTAGATCACTGGCTGCTTATACAAACGCACACGGAGCCACGAAAACGCCGTCTTTGATCTGCGCCAAAGATAAAGGCTTCGGCTATGCGCCCATTTCATTAGAATAAAATATCGTTGCGTCAATTCCGCAGCGGGCTATGTTTACATACAATGAAACGTTTTGTTTCTTCGGAAGCGCAGACCGGCATCAAGATTTATCGTGCCGACCGACACGTTTGCCATGAAATATTGGGCATAATTTTTTTGCCGCAGATTATCCGACCCTGTGTGTGCTGAATTTTATTTGTTCGGCGCGATGATGGTCAAAGAAAGCCGGCATAATTGGTCGTTTGCAAAATGCCTCCTGCCTTCAGACATTCAAGTCCACACAGAGCTGAGCAGAAATAAAAAAGAAGAAAACATTGGCATTGCCATTGCGAGGCAGTTGGACGCTGTCAGAAAAAGTGAACCTGATTTATGGGACAGCCGATGACAGTGATTGAAACCGTCGAGGATAAACAATCGCAAGGTGCGCCCGAAATCGAATGCAATCAGACTTAACATATTCCTGTTTGCTTGCTTGCCTGCTACTTGTCTTGACCGCGAGCAGCAAAGCGAACGAGGCGAACAAACGGAACCAATCATATCAAAATATTAAATACACAAAGTCGACGTCGACGGCTGGGGAACGATGTGGATTTCTCATTGAAGCTTTATTTACGAGATGAGATTGAATTATAATACCCACGCCACGAGCGTGTTCAAACAAGTGAAATACGGCAGACAAGTTTATAAAAGATATGACAGCTGTAACAGACGTAACTATAAAATAAATAAAGTCTGGCCGAAGCCCAACGCGCCAGGCGTTCGTGCTTTTGCGGCCAGAACCAACTCTATTCCGCCATTTGGTCTCAGATGCACTGCTTCTTTAGGCTGTTCCATTCTAGAAAAGAATTCATGTGCTTACTCTATTTCGATGTGTTTAGGCGAGGCTACTGATTACGAGCAGTTGGATGCAACACTATAAAAGTCGGCGCGTTTCAAAGAACTCGAGGGTCTGTCATCGTCACCAGCGTCATGGGTGGTAGGAGCCGACAGGCCAGAAACGTGGCGGCATTAACGCTTTGTCATGCCTCGCGACCTGCAGCAACCGGTCGACGGAGCACTCGAACGACTGCCAGCTTGAAAACTGTTGGAAGTAGTGGGGCTGACGGCGCGGGTTTGGAGCGCAGGCGCGCGTACCCATTTTCAAAGCTCCCACTTCCAAACTTTTCGGAGCCTCAGAGCGTTAGAGCTGCTTGTGGAGTTAACTTGCGAGACGCCATCGTCAGAGAATCGTGTGTACCGAGTGTGTGCGTTGTGTTATTTAATTCGACAAGTGAAATTTATCATCTAAATATTGTTATACCAAATGGTTGTGCTTGAAGGTGGCGGTATGTTGTCTTCAAACGGAAATCAATACTTACAACCGGATTATTTATCTCCGCTTCCAACTACGGTAAGTTGAATTCTGAATCTTCGGAAACTTTCAAAAGCGCAAACTATTAATCAAATTTTACAAAATTTTGGTACAGATTAATTTATTGTTTTGTTTGTTTTTGCTTACAGTTGGATGCAAAGAAAAGTCCCTTGGCCCTACTGGCCCAAACATGTAGTCAGATCGGAGCTGACTCACCATCATCAAAACCTTTGATATCTCCGTTGGATAAGCCAAAGAAGAACTCATCCGACGGTTCGCGTTCGTCTCCGGCAAGTGCTCGTGATAAAACCGAAAAGTCCGCGTCGCGCAGCAGCCCGACGGAAACAAAACTTGCGTTCAAGCCTTACGAAACCAATGTGATCACAAAGCGCAGCGACGAGTCGCGTCCCTCTTCAAAATCGGGCAACACTGACGACGAACGGAAGCCGGAAACACCGCATCGGAAAACCGCCTCGCCAGCGAACAGCACGTCAACGCCAGTGCCGGAGAACGGAAAGACAAGCCCTCCGTCGGATCGCGAACGGAAATCATCTACACCACGCGGTGCGTCACCAATCATCCGATCAGGTCTGGAGATGCTTCAAGGCACCACAAAGGATACCGGATTGAGTGCGTACAAACCTCTAAGCGGATTACCCGGTTCTTTGTCAGGATCTTTAAGTTCACTGTGTTGCCCACCTGGGCTGGAACATACGAATCCAGCTTTCCGACCACCATTTCCCGGTGGTCCCTTCTCACATCACCACGCTGCTATGTTAGCTGCATCTGGATATCCTGGTACCACCCCTGGTCCGTACCTAAGTTATGCGCGAGTGAAAACGCCAGCCGGCGGCGAAGCGTTAGTACCGGTATGCAAGGACCCCTACTGCACGGGCTGCCAGTTCAGTATGCACAATCAGCAGTTATTGATGAGCGGTGCCGCAGCGGCGGCCGCCGCTAGTGGTCCGTGTCCCAGTGGATGTACCCAGTGCGACCATCAGAAGTACAACCTTGCGATGGCGATGTCCCTAGTGCCTCCTGGAGCGGTACATCCGTCTTCCCTGGCATACCCCCAACTGGGCAGACCGTTGATCTGCAATTGGATAGCTGGGGATACCTATTGCGGGAAGAGGTGTGTTACTTCCGAGGAGCTATTACAACACCTTAGGACACACACCAACGGTGCGGATGCTGCAGCAGCTGTTGCCGCCACCACCACCGCTGCGTCGTCCCTAATGAACGCACATTCATTATTCTCCACCTCAGCGTTGCACAGATACCCTAATCCGCCTTTGAGTCCACTCTCGGCGGCGAGGTATCACCCGTACGCCAAACCAGGTGTTCCTGGTACCCTGGCCGCCTCTCCGTACAGCGCCTTCAATCCGACCACCTTAGGACAATACTACTCACCGTATTCAATCTACGGTCAGCGACTGGGCGCCGCCGTGCATCCCTAAACGATATCGTGTCCGGTTCTTGTTGATATTTATTTATTACCGATAACATGATTCGTACACCCGGGCTTGCAGACGCTTATGTTGCAAACAGGTCTGCGTTTGTCCAACACGTTCTACTGTGATAATATGTAAATAACTACATTTTCTCGAAGCAGACGCTATTTGACGAAGAAACAAATACGAAAAGTGCAATCTACAAAAAAGAGAGAAACGAATTCTATATTGTATGAACTCTTAGTTATTCGCAAAGCGGGTAGTCTTTGCGTGCGGCCCGCTTTGAACTTATTATTAATCGTTTTTGTTAATTATCTCTTCCTACTTGTATATTTAAAGAACAAACTTATATATTGCATAAAAGAAAATCCAACATGATGGAGAATATAATACACATTTTGTATAGCATTATAAAGTAAACAAAAAAATAATGACGAAGAAATTACATACTGATACTGAGGTTGAGTTTCGATGATGATGCTTTAATAAAAATGTTTGTAGACATAACATCGACTTATGACTCGTTTATTTCGACCTTTTTGTGTTTCATTTCAACGCTAAACACACCTTCAGGTGGCATAATTGGAAAGAGCATTTTTGTGGCGCGCTGCACCTTCGCATGGCGCGATAGTTTGGTGCTTCGGGTGTGAAAGCAGCGACTTGATGGATTACCCCGCCGGAGTGACCTTCTCCTGGCATCTGCAATCTCTTGCCGAGATGATGGATGGTCGAGCTGTCACAGCGTCATTCATCATTATGCCCGCTTCGGAGCTCTGCAACTTACGCCGAGATGGAACTCCGCAGCGCTTAATTGAAACAGTCCTACGCCTTTTGCTAATTATAATAAGTTTTATGCACTTCGTAACAGTCGCAGCTGCCATTGGTCCAAGCAATAAATAACACTTTTCTCCAGAAATGCGATTTTTTGCATGCGAAAATTGATGCTTTTCCTAATCAACGACCGCGCGCCGTAATCGTTCAAGAAGTGGAGATAAAAACGTGCATAGCGGCATAACGATGATGCCCCATCATCCAATTACCGTCTATCATCAATTCTAACCGAAACAGGTTCTCGTCAGACCTCGTCGCCGCCGTCGAGGCGAGCGCGTCTGTCATTAATCATAAGAGCGCGCCCAGGTAAAGCAGCGCCCGTCACTCAAAGTCATCCATGTCTCATCAAACACGCAGCGACGTTAGTGGCGCGCGAGGGCCCCACTTCTGTGCTGCGGCAACACGCGACTTTTCGCTCTGTGCTCGCATGATAACTTTGCATTCATGCGCGCGGGGCTCTTATTTCGCCGCCAACCCACATTTCAATTTGTCCCCCGAAGCCGCTGACTGGGTGACACGAAGCGTTAATATTTCACTCGGGCTGTCATATCGCTGCGCGGGCTTAAATTATTTCTGAAACGCAGATTTACAGTTGTTTTCTTGTAGATTCCGTTTAACGCCGCCATAAACGAGATGTTGCGAAAGCGCGCTTTTGGTTCGTCCACCTCCGGCAAGTATGATGTGTGTACAGGATGTGCGTTCATGCGCGCGCGCTTGAATGTGTGACTGACGCGCAGTGAAGATTTATTTATGTTCTTTGGGATCAAACGGGCGAGTGTTTTATGTTATAATTTATGAGTAATTAGTCTGGCGAATGCTAGCGTGTGGGTTTTAACTTAAATAATTACGTTTTATGCTGCACAGGCCTGAGGGATCATTTCATGGAGGAATTATGAACGTCCACAGCAGTTAATTTATTGCCCGACTAACAATGCAGTTGGAACTACACCAACAACATATTTTTCGAGTTTTCACGCTGATCTAATACAGAATGTTTGGATGAGTAATTGAGATCTTCAATTTTGGTTGAGCGTTACCACCTGGCTTTATTCTACGCTGAAGACTTTCTAGTCGCTGGTGGCGCGCACGCCTCGGATGCAAATATGAGCAGATAGTTTATTCAGATATCGTTTGCGGAAGGGAAACGCTGAGCGGCGGCGATAGTTGCGCGCGCGATAAGGCATCTCGAGTGTGTCACATGCCATCAGGAGTCTAATCTAAATCGCATTACCCGCGAAGCGGTGACGGCATCGCTTGCTGCCTTCTCGAGCTCTTCGGCACGTCTTCGCGTGCCTCGAGTGTACGTGCGGTAGCCGCCGACTTTGACACTCTCGCGGCTGCTCACGATTATAAATTGATTTATTACGTTATCGCTTTTTCATGCGCACTCTCGCGACGCGAGCGCGCTCCTGAATTATACAAGAGCATAAGCGCCAGACGCGGAAAATCTTCGCGGTACACAACGACAACAAACTGCGGCCACACAATATTTATTAGGAGTGAATAATTCACTCGGCGGGTCTCTCCGGCGGTTGAATATGAAATTATCGCGCATACAAATCTATTTCGTGTGCCGTGCGCCGTGCCGCCGATTTACATACAAAGTGTTTTCGAAAGTGCACGCAGACTATAATTTTAATCTTTCAGCTAGTTGCGTCGTAATCTTATCCTAAATGTAGGTATATGTACAAATACTACACACTTAGGAGGAGTAGGTAATAATACGCTGCGATTTTATACGAAACGCGAAACAATTAAACGTGATATATATCGATCGTAAATACGAATAATTTGCATACGTAGAGCAATATTTCCGTGCGCTGCACGTTCGCCGGTTGGGTTATTTGCGCCAAAATGCATATGCTGTCGGATTTGCGGTGTAGATCATGCTCTGACACGGCGTGTTATATGTTGCGTGACCGCTGCGTGGCGTGGTGCAGACGCATAGACACATCGCAAGATGTTTTATGGCCCGGCAACTGGCATTTCGAGCCGGAGCTCTCCGCGTTTAAGTACATTTTGAAATATTAATGGCGTTTTTTAATCACTATAAATTAAGATCGCATGGCTGGCGAGTTGCGGTGCGGTGCCGGTGTGCGCGTTGGCAAACGCGACGCTGAAAGAACGCTGACTGAAAATAATATATCAGGATTAAACTAATAAATTTTTATATCCAGCAGCTCTGCTACAGCGAGCAGCGGAGAGTCAGTCAGTGTTGGGTATGCGATGCGAGAGCGCACGGCGACGGAGGAGATTTATGACTATTGCACGTTCCTTTTTATACAGCTATTAATAATAATGTTCTCTAACCATATGTTCTCGACGTATGATAAATATTAAAATCCATGCGTTTTGACGTACATCCCGAAATTACCATTTGGCGTGCGCGCGCCGCTGCACGACGTTAAATTAAGCGCTAATTAAATGGAATTTATAGCCGATTACTACACGTTAAATGCCTTCAGGTCGTTTAATCTGTGAGTTACCGAACGTATTATATGCAAATCTAATTCTCAAGAAAAAAAAATCTAGTTTCTTTAAATAAATAGAATTTCACATTCTGATCGACTAATAATGTATCTTTATTATGCACTGCAATGAATTTGTTATGAGTTGATATAATGTCATAAACTTATCACATATTATAGAATCTGAAATTACATACTGTTGCACTTCACTCTGCCATAGACAGTCATGGGCTATAATTTCGAATGCACTCCTCCACCCTATAAATATTGTAGGTACTCATGGGTAATGCAAAGAAAATCGTTCGTGCATGCAAGCACGCAGGCAACTGACATCCAGAAACACAATCCACAAACCGCTGTTCATTGCTTGCTGGCTGCCGCCTGCCGATAAGCCAAACATCACATTATGTTGCTTATACCTACATGTCTAACTTGAATGTAAAGACATCTCCCAACCTGGCAATGCATAACGACTGGGTACTGCAATATTGCACATCATGCAAAAATAATAACCAGCCTAATGGTTCCAACCTACAATCACACGAAAGATGAGTGCATTTACGATGATCGTGTGTTGCGCCTCTAATATGCCAATCAAAAACCAAGAGACATGACCGACAAGTTGTGATCTGCATTGGATGAGTGCGCATGCAAAACAAAAAAATACGACGATGGTAACGTCATAATCGCGGTGATTGTATGGCGTGGCTTGCAGATTGAAACAAATGGAAATCGACGCGTCGAGCCCGGTGTACGAGGGAACTATCCGTAACATCCCTTCACACATCAATATCAATATTTCACATGCAACTACTCTTCATTACGGCTGACACTTTGATCGTTCGTCTTCGTATTTATCGCGCGCGCGGCGCATCAGCATAATGTCGCGGAGTGTCGCGCACCGCGCGCGAGTGCAATTATGATTGATTAGCGTTGATAAAAAGAAGTCATAAATTTCAATTATGCCGGCAGCGTTAAAATGCAATTTGGTGTACAATTGAACAATTACATTTTGGGCCGACTGATCACGTTCAGGTCTCGAGAGCAGCACTAAACAACAAAAACTCATCGTTTGAACAAATCATCATGTAATGAACAGGCAAACGAAGCGTTGCAAATTACAATTTACATCCTTTTGGCCTGTGTGCAAGCATTCAACAGATCATTTTGCAAGGTGAGCTGAGTGTGGCATGTAGTGAATAAGTTGATGTTGTTAGTATCCTATATGCGCCGCTTATATGCCCATGGCGTCGAATTGTTAAATGCGTGCGCGAACCATCAAACGAGGTACACTTTAACGTGCACATTTATTACACTTAATTGCCACCTACAAAACAAATTGCAGGCTCTAACTTCCCACGTCGCGCGCGGACGCGGGCGCACGTTTAATTAATTCACTTATCGTCTCGAATAATCGCCGGCGCAACAAATCACTTTTGCAATTTTTATTTCATTTGTTTCCACTTAGAACGTGCATTGCTGGGTATGAGTTACGCAAGAAAAACAACAGGAAACAAAGGAAAAGCTAAATAAACACCATTTAGGCGGTTAGATTTTCATACAAATGGATTAACTAAATTTTTTCTTGGTAACATTCAACATATTCTTTCAACGTGTCAGGTTTTTTCACATTGTCAGCCTGGCCAACTCGTCAAATAAATATTAAACGAGTAATAAAGGATTGGGAATGTGAATATGTGAGTAGGTACACGTTTTCATAAGTGGCAGATTAGATGCGACGCGAATGCACACGCATGACCAAACAATGAGGGTTGGCGACGTTTTCATTTACCTCTACGCGCGCCACAAAACCCTTTCAGACTTGTTCCCGAGCGTGAGCTCCAGGGCAATATATTTTATGCAAGGATGAAAAGAAAATTCAATCTGCGTGACACGGCCCCCTTCGTGTGCTCGCGCAGTGACAGCCCGTGATTACACATTCAACAACCTGACCCCGTACAGCCGGAGGGCATTTTGACCTTGCTGCTCATGTGAGTCATGAGTGCAAGTGACATGCGTAACAAGTTCTTCGAAGAAGTTTTACGCATTAGACTACAGTTTACTGCCATACTGCATTTGCATCTGTCTTCCTACATCATTTATTCCGGCAGTTACATTATAAGCTTCAACTCTGATACACGAGGATTTCAGTCTCGAAATTGTTATTTCATAAACAAAACGCCTATATGTAATTTCGATTTAACTTGATTTTAT